GCTGTATGGTTTAAGAAACTGAATGTGGAAGCTATGATCCAGGAAATATGGAAGGATTTAGCGCTATGATTACAGTAGTTTCTATGAGTATATTCATATGAGATCGAAATATTAAAATAACAGGTCCAGTGAATGTGACTTTGTAACCTGGCATTCAACATAATATTTGCAGTTGGCAAAGAAAGGTAGATCTTCAGACTGAGAGGTACTGAAGTGAATAGACATTCGTATTTGGCTTAATAAAATATTCTAGTGTGATCACGTTATGGTAGATCAATCCTTGAACTATTGAATAAAGAGACCCACAGAATCATAGGCTTTTCCATGATTTTTCTCCTTTCCTGGGATGGATATGTAAGCTTGTACATGAGGCTAAGACTTCTGAAATGTCTGCTACCTTTCACACAGCACAAAGCAATATTGAATCAGCAATGATGAAAGATGAGGCTCTGTACAGAGAACAATAGCTGAATCATAGACATATGAGCTCTTTTTTTGTTTCTGTGTTTTGTGTTTTCTTGTTTTTGTAGTGTAGTGGGTAAGGCGGAGAGGTAAATATTCAGTTATATAGAGTTGAGGTGACCCAAACATGATCCTCCCTTTTCACTCTCATTTCCAATAATCTAATTCAAGTCCTTTTAACCATTCATTGCTTAGTCTTCCTTTAATTGGTTCTCTATGCTATTCTCTGCCATGCCTGTTCTAAGCTCTCTCTTCTCTCCTCAAATGCCCGTCAACCACCCTTCTCCACTCTCTCAGTTGGGGCCTTCACTCCACAGTTTATTGAAAAATTGATGTTACCTACTGAAAATTTCCTATTCTCCCTGCTCCACATTCTACAACCTGTTGACATCAATCCCCATTATCTCCTTTTTTACTCCAGTATCTGAGGTGCCCCTTCTCCTTGCCAAGGACAATCCTTCTCATGTATGATTGATCCCTTCTCCTCTTGTAGATTGGCCTTAATATACTGCTTCTCTATAATCTTCATTTTCTCCCGGCATACCACTTTCTCCCCTTCTGCCTACAAATTCTCCCCATCTTCAGGAAGCCCTGATTAGCCGCTCCCATGTTCATTTGCTACTATCCTATAACTTTTCTCTCTAGCTCAACCAAACTCATTGAAAAAACTCCCATTTATACTTGGTGCCTCCACTTACTCTTCTCTCACTCTTTTTAATTCCCTGTAATCTGGCTTCTTACTTCACTAATCAACTAAAATTGCTTTCTACAAAGTTACCAATGATTTCCTAATTACCATACCTAATAGTATCTTCTCTATCCCCATCCTCTTTAATCCTCCTGTTATACTTAACACTTTTCTGCCTTTTCTTTCTGGATCATTTCTTGTATCTGAGTTTGGGGAGACACTGATTTCCCTCCATTCTTTTTTTAATTAATTAATTAATTTTTAGTTTTCAACATTCGCTTCAATAAGATTTTGAGTTCCAAATTTTCTCCTCATCTCTGCCCTTTCCTCACTCAAGATAGTGTGCAATTTGATATAGGCTGTACATATACATTCATATTTAACCTATTTTAACATTACTCTTGTTCTAAAAAAGAAATAAAACCAATGGGAGTAATCATAAGAGAGAAGAAACACAAAAAAAAAGAGAAAGAAAGAAAATAATATGCTCTATTACTTCCCTATTCTAATTCATACTTTTTTTGCTACTTCTAAAGTAATTTTCATAAAGCCCATGCTTGATTATGCCATTTATCTACTTGGAAACTTTTGGTGGATTCCCATTGTGTAGGACATAAAATAGGAAATATATATATATATATATATAATATAATACATATATATATATATAATACATATGCATATATACATACAAACATATATATGTATACACACATACACATAAAGCGAGGGAGCATAAAAGTTTATATGTAATTTAGGTGTAATATATATATATATATATATATATATATATATATATATATATGTATGCATAGAATAGTATATATAATATTATATATGCATATGATAGTGTATGGATGTATATGCATATGTATATGTATGTATGTATGCATGTACACCCATACATACACACATATGGAAGATCCCTCCCAATATAGGTTGACAATTGTTTTAGCATGTATTTGCTTATTTGCTTGTGGTGTACAAGGATTAAGTGCCTGGCACAAGGTCACACAGTGAGCCAGAGGAAGAGGTAAATCTGAGTCAGAGGCCAACTCACCATCCATTGCACTATGTTCCCTTATCATTAACCTACAAGTCCTTCAGAGGCAATTTTCAATGAGGTGAAATCCCACCTAATTTCTCCCAATACAGGTTTTAAGCTCACATTTGAAAGAGCCAAATGTCCCATTGATGGACACTGTACATAGCTTTGCATGGTGGAGTAATCTTTTTTTTTTTCATTTCTCAGATGCCATCAGTGTACACCTGTCTGAGAGTTTTGGAGGATATCACATTGTTTTTAATGAGAAAAAAAGCTAGAATTGTGCTCCAGGCAGCCAAAAGGAAAATCCCCAAAGAAATCCCATTGTAGGTTTTCATTTTTCTTGCTTTAACCTAGAAAATGAATACAGACAAGCAACTTCCCTGAATAGTTTACTCCTTTCCACAGTATTAGGGTTTGTGTGTGGTTTTCCCCTAAAACTCTAGATTGAATTTTCATTTCCCTGGGTCTGTTCCTCCTCAACTCACTTGCATTAAATTAGATCCTTTTTCCTGACTATTTTACTGGTGTGGAAGTAAGCATAGAACTTCCAACAACCAAGCAAAAACATGACTGAAGACATCCTTTGTCTTATCCAATCCGGTGGGATCTCACTTTGCCAAGCTCCATGGTCCTAAGAAACCCCAACTTCTAAGTTTACTTGGTTTTCTTCTAGGGATTGTGGATTGAAAGTAGCAGGATAGGAAAAATCCCAAAGTAATTGTGATTACAACTTCCAGTGGGTACAATGATGCTACTACATAATAACAGTAGTATGGCATCATTAGTCAAGTGTAGGACTCAGAAAGATTTAGGTTCACAGATGCCACTCTCTGAGTCTCAGTTTCTATATCTTTATAATTGGGATAATTATCTCTGTATCAATGCAATGGAGTGCAACACCCAGGTATGAGCTCGGTCCAATGGTGGAGCCATACAAAATTTTAAAAGATAAAAATGCCCTAGCACCCCACTCCTTTCCTGTTTTTTATCTGTTGCTACCTTTACTATTAGAAAGGACATCCATCCTATGATTTCCCTCATGTAGAATCCTGGATTAACACTACAGTAGTTTCTGACCATGCTACCATGAAAGGAAAGGGTTTTGAGAGATGGGGACCTCCCAACGGGCCAAGTCAGCTTTGCCATTGGGATCTTCTTACTTATCTTGTCACTGCATCCAAAGCTGAGCATAGCAAAGGAAGAAGTGAAACAGATATGGGAACCACGGTGGTTATGTGCAGGAATTTGAAGCATTGCAGGAACAGCTGAATGAGATTTCAGGAAAAGAATGTAGAGAAGCCTGGAAATTTCCATGTCTCAGTCACAGTTATCTAACTGCATTTCAAGAAGTCCCAGGGCAATTAAAACAAATCATTTAAGTCTTATGAATAATGTTCACTTGTCAGTGTTTTTCCTAAGGTAGGGTTCAGGTTCACAGCAGAGATGAGACATTTCCTTCTTTTAGTAATTTTTGAGAACATGATTACAATAGTTTCTGTGAGTATATTCATATGAGATTGACATATTCAGAGAAAAGATCCAGTGAATGTGAGTTTGTAAACTGGCATCCAACTTATAATTGCAGTTGACAAAGAAAGGTAGATCTTCTTACCCCTAGATCTCTATAGAACTTGGGGCCAGCCACTGTATACATAATCTTAGTAGAACTTTGCCAGGGAGAAGTAGGGAGAAGAATTTTCTTCTATATAATTTGAGTGTCTTCTGCTGAGGAGTGGACTTTGAATATCTTCTGATACAATCAGTGGGCTGGTAGCCCATGGGTGGCACCACATGGTGGTCCTGATGTGTACCATATCCAAAGATTGTTAATTATGTGACAAGGTATCAAGCTATGTGAGGATGTCTGCTACGTCAGCAGTATCACTAAGTGTATAAGTAGTACATATCACTTGTCAGCACATGGGTGTCACCCAACTCCACTTCATGTAGTGACTGTGATACTCAAGCGAGCAAAGTTGTGTGAAGGGCTTTACAAGTTTGGAAGTAGAAGGTAATAGGCTGGGATATATTCATCTAGAAGAGAGCATAGAGCCCACCTAAGCCAAAGAAGTCATCAGACAGATGGGGAAACTGAGGCTTTGGGAAGTTTGATGACTTGTCTAGCTGGTCATAGAGTAACAAAATGGATTTGAACCAAGGTCTTCCAAATGCCCAAACAGGGTTCTTTCTACAATACTACCATTCCCTTCTTTACAATGTCCAATGTGTCATAGGTTTGGGTGTTACATTTACCCTTATCTCAGCCCAGATTTTCAATTCAGTCTCTTGAGATATCCAGGAGAGGAAGGGTTTTTGAAAAGGAAAGTCATTGGGAAAATTGTACTTCTTTTATACAAACTGATTTTCAGTTATATTTACTAGAATGCACATTTCATGTATTTCCTAAGGCAAAGAAGACCTCCCTAGCATTCGAAGGGTTCACTTCAACTTGTTTTTCAATAATGGAATAAGACCCACATGTATTTAAAAGCATTAGTTAAAATGTTCTGCTGCAGGGGTGGGGCATGGGGGTGGGGATGTGCGCAATGGAACCTGCAGCCAAAAAAAAAATGAATCAATGTCTTCATTTCAATGACAACATTTCCATTAAATAATTTGAACCAAGCAGTTAAATATCTTATCATAACAGGCAGCAAATATCTTTTGAATAGGCTACAAGTCATTTATTTCTTTTTTTTATTTTAATTAACTAGGATTGAGTTTATTCACAAAGGCTTTTGTAATCAAGTGACATGCATCACTACACTGTCTGATTCCCTCAGCTTCTCTGCCTCTCCTTACCTCTTTGTTGGTCCTGTCTGCCTGGACTAAGGTCCCATTCAAGCATGGCTCAACATAGTGGAGTTCTTCATTATACTGGAAAGGGAAGGAAAAAAAACACAGAGGGAACATTTATTTCATAGCCTTCATAAGAGTGGTTTAATTTGACAATTTAGAATCACATACCCATGCACACACACAGAAGATGAAACAGTAACAGTGCAATCACAACATTCAATTCATTAAAACTGTGTGATATTTCTCTTTGGTTTAAGTAAGTAGTGGTGGTTGCATTTTTTTTTTTACATTGGAAGGGAGGAGTGGTGGAGAGTTATTGATGTGCCAAGATATAGGTGAGTTCAGAATTCACACAGTTAAACTAATCACCCAACAGGGACAACTCTAAATGCATGGAGCTTTAATGAAACTGGTTGACAGCAAACCTCCCAGGTAGGGATCTGGATAGAATTACGGATCCAGAGCTTAGACAGTTCCAGCCCCAGCTCCCTCTGCTTCATTTGAGTAAAACTGACAAACATTCAAGTCAGGCCATGTACTTGGAGGAGGTGATTGTGCTGGGGGTGGGAGAGGGAGCCAGAGAGGGATTTGGAATGATGGAATAATAGAACCTGGTCACCATGATTGCAAAGACATTCTAAAACTGTCAGCTGGAGAAATATTAGCATTTCAAACCCTCCTATACATGGCTCCCATCTGCCTCACTATTGTCTGTCTCCAGGCTTTTGTGTATTCTGTCCCCCTTGTCTACATCACACTTCCTGCTTGCCTCCCTCCACCTCTTAGAATTCCTAGCCTACTTAAAAGAGTAACTCAGATAACACTTGATAAATGAAACCTTTCCTAATTTTCCTTGGTTTTTACAAATTTTTCCCTCCTGAAATTTCTTTATTTTTACTTTCTCCATGTGTGTATTACATCTTTCTAAGTAGAACATAAGCTCTCCAAAGACTGGGACAGTTTTGTAATTAGCGTAACATCTGCATCCCCAGCACAGTCCTTGGCACACAGTAAGCACTTACTAAAGTACTGAATTCAGTTTGTTGAATATGGCGAGGCATTGTGAGCCAACATCCAATGAAATGGCAATGCTCTAATTCTGAGACTTGTGACATCCTTCCTTTCTCTTTCAATTGGAAGAGTATCATGCCTCTTTCAGGAATGTTAATCTTCTCATTCAATGTGGTTTCCCTCAACAAATTGGTGACAAGTTTTTTTTTTAATTATCAACATAGTAGAAATGACATGTACTAAGATGGCCAGACCAAAAAATCTGGAGTAAACAAAAGGTAGTTTTTTTCTAAAAAGCTGTTCTGAATTGTTAACTTAAAATAGTTAATAGGTTATAAGAAGTTTTGAAAAAAGTCCAGTGAGTCCCACTCAAAAAGTACCCACAACCATAGGCACAAGAAGAATTCCATTCCTCTTTCTATACTCCACTCCTCCCACCCAACATTGCATCTGGAAAAGCAGGTTGAGTCCAGATACATGACAACTTACTAAGGCATTTGTATATATCCTACTGGATGCTTGATTAATAACATTTGTCTGGCAAAACAAAGCAAACACATCCTAATAATAGTTTGCTTAACCAGAGGAGAAATCAGCTGTCAGAACATCTTCCTTTATGTCTAACATTTTATTTTTGAAAAATTAAAGTTACAAGAGTTCTACCTTAAGAGATAAGTCAGCTCTCCAGTATTCTTCACTTGAACAAAGACAGGCTTTGCTCCCTCAAAAGGGGGTAAAAGAACAAATAGATAACCAAAAAGCATGAAAAAAATAGAATCTGATAAAAAGAATAGAAATATTTTTTAAAAGAGACAAAGTTCTAGCATGATGATCAAATATCATGAATTCAAAGGATTGAAGATATATTAAGGGGAACTGATATATTAATACCAATTATATCAGAAATGAACCTGGAACTATCACAAGACAGAAAAAGTTGAGCAATAAACATTAAGAAAAATAGGGAACTAGCAGTATTAAAGAAGGCTGAAAGAGATTTGACATCAGCAAAGAAAAAAAAGGAGCAAGACAGTTATGAAAACTCAAAAGGCATGGACTCACAGCTGGAAAATTGAAATAAAAATATGGATTCATTGAGGAATAGAATCATTCCTTTAGAAGACAAAAATACAGAAATGGAAGAAGAAATAGCAAAAATCAGATAAAAAGACAATTTAACTTGAACAAGGGTTGGTACCATTCATAACAATGCTGTTTGAAGTAGAGTACATGACTTGGTTAGGAAATGTAAGATAACCAGCCTCTGGCATAAAGAATGCAAACTAAAGTTTGGCCACCATACTACACCAGTCTCAGGATTATTAACATTAAAGGACAGATTAGACATCAGTAGAACCTGAGAGATGCTAAAAAAGATTCAGTTTTTTTCCAGACAAATTAATATCAACTCCAGAGCTAAAATGGTAAGACAAATAATTTTATAAGAAGCTAAGGAGGTGAGGGGGACTGTCAAAGAACAACAATTCCAATGGCACCATTTTTTTTCACTCAAAAACAAGGGTGGCATATAATGAAAGATCAAGAACATTGGCCTTCATTTTAACTAAGCATAAAACATAAGGCAAAAGTTGAGTGTCTGACAACATATAATTATTATAAGAATTTCTACAGAAAAAACCAAGCTTTTCCTTGTGGAAAGTAATCACTCAACAAATGTTTATTGGGTTAAATAAGTTGTCTTTATAAGTGTTTAGATAGCCAAATGATAACCAGAAGAAAAACTTCAGCAGGTAAATTCTGAGTGGGGTTTGGGAGTGTGTGTACTTGGGTATTTAAAATTATAAATGACTAAATTGTCTCAGTATAAACTGTTGACAAGGAACAACAGTAGAACAGTTGTGGAGTCATTTTAATGAATATCATTATCTAGGTCACCACACTGGGAGAAGGAAGAGACAATGCAGCAAAAGGAAGAGAAGAAAGAACAAAAGGAAAGACACAAGTGAAACCTGCCTAAGATCCAGCATAATAAATGGAAATTAAGCAAAAATAAATCACTAGCAACTTTTTTTGCCCTGAATGATTACTTAGGGATATGATGTGAAGTTACACCTAATAGCAAAATCAAAGAGGTATGATCTAGAGTTCTCTCAAGGTTTCTGGGTACAGCTCCGGAAGTAAGAGTTATAGAAATTATATCAGATAAAGCATAGGAACTACTTTTTTAAAGGAAAAAATTATATAAATTGCAAAATGTTTTAAGAGGAAAAACAATCACTATGGGAGACAGCCACACCTGTTTAACACAGTAGGGTACATCAGGCAGAAGAATAAATTAAAAAATGTTTTTTTTTTCCATTCAATGGAATGCTCACTATCAACTGATTACACACACACACACACACACACACACACATGCACACACACACACACACACTGAAATGGATATTTCATCTCAATGTGGGTATTCCATACAAAATAGAGAAGATTGCCTTCAAAAATGAAAAGACCATACAAAAATTGACAATAATTTAATTTCTAAGAAATTAATAAATAAATGGAGAAAAGTGGGAACATGCATTTATATGGCTTAGCATAAAAACCCCAACATTTTTCAATGGGGAGAGATGATCAAAAGATACTGACCAAAAAAGAGGCTGAAATGATACATGATTTTCTAAATTATGCTCAATCAGCTCATTCTAAAAACTATAAAGACAACAAAATTCATAGCCATGACCTAATAGCTTTTTTAAAAAGATGAATGAAATCCATAAACAGTTACAGTAATCAATGAAAAGATATAAGAAAAATCAAATTACCAAAATCAGTTATGTAAAAGAAAAAACAAAAATGAATGGTGAAGAATTTTTTTCTTAAATAATACACTCATCTACATAGTTCTATATCAGCTGCATGAAATATAAAGCAAATAGACAAATACCTACAAAAATCCCAAATCTTCATATTGCAAAACAAGAAATAGATTTCTATAAAAATCAAAAGAGTAACTGATTCTGCTGTTAACATGTTGTGGTATAGAAATACACAAGAAGCAGATAGGTGTCCAAGCAAATACTATCAAACATTTAAAGGATATTGTACTCCCAATGATAGAGACTTTACTACCTCTGTTTATTCTATAACACAGAAACACTTGTAATCCCCAAATGAGAAAATATTAAGGCAGACAATAAGAAATATAAATCAATATAATTAACAATATTTACCCAAAATCTTAAAATAAATACTGACAAATAGATCATAACATATTGCTCCCAGTATATTCCTTACTCTATTCAGCTTTCGATATCTCCCTGTCTCTTGTTTCTTTCCTGTTGCCTACAAACAGGTCCATGTTTCCTCGATCCTTAAAACACCCTCACTTGATCTGACAGTGTCATCAAAGTACCATACTATATATCTCTTCCTCTTATCAGCTCAATTCCTTGGGAAAGCTGTCTATTCTCCAGACTTCCACTTCCTCTCCTTTTACTGTATTCTAAACCCCCTGAAAATCCAGCTTCTCCACTCATCACTCAACTAAAACAACTGAAACGTCTCCAAAGTGAAGAATGATCTCTTTATTGCCAAATCCATTGCCTTTTCTCAATCCTCATCCTCATTGACCTGTCCATAGTCTTTGGCACCATCTCAAGGTTTTCCCTTCCGAATACTCTCTGTATAGAGGGACCATCATCTCTCAATGCAGCCCAAGATCTCATTACCCTTTTTTTTGTTTGCCACATCACAGAGCTGACTCATATTGACTTTGAAATTCAACAAAAAACCTCAGCTCGATTAAAGACAAACCATGCCTCTCCATCTTATGAAGTTGATTTTTTATACCCAAGTATAAGATTTTGCATTTATCCCCATGCAATTTCATCTAATTAGATTTGACTCAGTGTTCTATCATGTCAAGGTCCCTTTTTTGGATGCTGTTATCTAATGAGTTAGAAGAAGAAACTTTCCCTTATTCTATGTTCTTCAATACTATTGCACTTGGGCCCGAATAACCACTAAAGAATTACCAAGAGGAGAGGGAGATTAATCCACAAAAGAAAAAAAAACATAGCCTTGCAGTGGAACAAAGTGGATAGAAA